ATAGCCTTTTATCTCTGTGATTGTGATATTACAGTTTGAGTTTTGTTTATGTCTATTGACGAAGTTAATTCATCCGAGCATTTTTCAACTTTTACCTTAGATTTTTCACATCCTTTCTACATGCATCCGTCTGATAGTCTCGGTACTCATCTAGTCTCCCCTCTATTTGATGTACTGGTTTTGTGGCTTGGAAGAAGAGCATGCTTGTGTCTCTTTTTGCCAAAAATAAATTAGGGCTAATTAATGGCTGTCATGATAAACCTACTGAGGATTCTCCTTATTACCCCTATTGGGAAAGGTGTAACGATATGGTGATTGCTTGGATCACCAATTCTCTGTCTAGAGAAATTGCTACCAGTGTCTTAGGGTATGACACTGCTAGAGAGATATGGTTGCATATAAATAAGAGGTTTGGTCAATCAAATGGGTCAAAATTCATTCAAATCCAAAGGGAGATTGGTTCTATCTCCCAAGGGACATCAGACATAGCTTCATATTTCACCAGACTACGCAGTCTTTAGGATGAGATGAACACAACTTATGTCGGACCTGTTTGCTCATGTGGAGCCCTTCCTAAATTCCTAGAGGAACTCAAACTATTCTGTTTCATTGCTGGGCTAAATGATTCATACTCCACAGTCAAGAACAGCATTCTTGGTTCACATTGATATTTGGGGCCCCTATCACACCCCTACTTACAATGATTTCAAATATTTTCTAACTCTAGTAGATGATTACACTAGGGCAACTTGGACACATTTACTCTCTTCTAAAAGCAATGCTCTTTTTGTTCTAAAAGCTTTCACCTCTATGTTTCAAACTCAATTTCACACTTCAGTTCAATCTTTCAGGTCTGATAATGCTTTTGAACTAGGAACTAGATTTGAGCCCAAATCTTTCTTTAATGCTCAAGGTGTACTACACCAAACTACCATCCCCCACACTCTTCAACAGAATGGTATTGTGGAAAGAAAGCACAAACACCTCTTAGAAACTTCTAGAGCTTTGCTTTTCCAATCACATTTACCTACCAAGTATTGGGGTGAATGTGTTCTCACAGCCACATACCTCATCAATAGATTTCCCTCCATTGTTCTCAATAACATATCCCCTATGAAAAATTGCATGGTCATCGCCCTCACTATGATCATCTTAGATCCTTTGGATGCTTATGCTATGCCACCACACCCAAAATCTGGAAGAGACAAATTTCAGACAAGAGCACTGCCTTGTATCTTTCTTGGCTATCCCTGTGGCAAGAAAGGTTACAAGTTGCTAACTCTTTCCAAACATGCTATCCTCTATTCTAGAGATGTTGTATTTCATGAGCATGTATTTCCTTATTCACCTCCTCCTTCATAATTTTTTCCTTCTTCTCCTACTCCATTTGTAGATTTACCTAACAATCCTCCTCCTTCCATTTCCCCTCATCCTATTTTTTTTCATTCTCCCCCCTTTATCACTGATCCTCCTTCTCCTTCTCCAACTGTTATCCCCCCTACACATCCTGTTTCTCTCCCTATCAGAAACTCCTCCAGGATCAGTAATCCCCCACCCCATTTAAGGGATTATGTTTGTCAATCTCTTGCTCTCAAGGCTCCTGCTTCTCTAGCTTCTAAGGTCTCTTCCTCTATTCTGTACATGCATGAGCCCCCGTTTTATCAACATGCTACATCTCACCCTGCTTGGCAGGAGGCCATGCTAAAGGAATTCCAAGCTTTAGATGCAAATCACACTTGGGACATTGTTTCCCTTCCCAGATCCGTTACCCCTTCGATCCCCGCTATACGGTTGATACCGATCTTTGTTCGGTCTTGGTTCAAGATCGATGACCCTCTTAAGCCAGTCATTAGTTTTTATGGGATAAACGGACTCGGAGGGGGGCCCGAGTTGATCATCCTCAACTCTGATTTTTGACCGATACCTGTTATGGACGTCGGCCCAAGTTACCACCGGGTACTCTATCAAATTCTATTTCAACTGCTGTGAAGCCAAGGAACTTCGGGGGTTGAGTCTTTGAGTGAATGTCTGAACGGCCCAATCATCCGTAACCGGGGGCAGATCCATCCGTTCTATTTGAAACCTCGATACGATTTCCTTGAGCATTTCGTTATCTCTTTGTTTTACCTTGAAAAGATCCAATTTTCTGGTCTCGACCTTAATGGCACAAAGGACGTAAGCATAGCAAATGAATCAATAGAATTTAGGGGTAAGTTGTGATACCATATCATTGCTCATTTGGACAGGGTTTTCCCGAACCTTTTTAGCAAAACCGACTCGATTTCGTCATTTTCTAAGTCATTTCCCTTGATGGCAAATGTGTAGGAGGTAACGTGCTCATTTGGATATATGGTTCCATTATACTTCAGAATTTATGGAATGCAGAACTTCTTCGGGATTGGATTCGGTGCCTCACTCGGTGGGAAAGGCTTTTGGACAAATTTCTTGGAATCCAGGCCTTTCAATATCGGGGGCGCTCCTGGGATTTTATCGACTCTGGAGTTATAGGTCTCTATTTTTTTGTCGTTGGTCTCAATTTTCTTCTCCCCCGATTCCACCCACTTTGTCAGTTCCTCAAGCATTTTAATTATTTTTAGGGTTGGTCCCAGGCTCAGCTACACCCAGCCTTTCTGCGGCTCTAACTTCTTCGGGTGTTTTCCCGGGATAGTTCGGGTTCAACTCTGTTGGGGGCGCGGCTTTGATTCTGCAGTTGTGCTATCGCCTCCTGTTGGGCCTGTAACATTTCGAAGATCACCCGCAGATTAATCCCGTCGCCTTCACCTTTGGGCGTACCTTGAGTCGTAGGTCGGGCTCCTCCGCGAGCGCTGTTCTCAGGGTCGGTCAGCAGGTTGGTGTCGATGGCCACATGCGAGTTGGCGCCAACTGGGTCTGCAACCGGGACTCCGTTGGGATCAGCAGGGGACACCTCGTTGCTAGGCACTATATTGTTGTTTTCGCCGTGATGACCAGATTCAGCGTCAACGTTCAAGTGAGTAGACAGAGAGTTTGACATTTTTAGGTTGACCTGAAATCAAAATCTCAGAGAACAAGCGTAAAACAGAGTGTGTTATGAAAATTTGTATCAAATTACCACTATTATCCTTATCCCCACGGTGGCCGCCAAACTGTTTACCCTTAAAAATGGATAACTATTGAATTTATACGCGATTATAAGATTATGTGATCTAATCTAATACAAGTGATTATAACGTTAGATGAACAAATTAAAGATAGAATAAATAGCCAAACCAGTAGTAGTATTGAGTCCGAGCTCGGTTATGAGCTTAGCAATTAATCCGCCTTCGGTTCGCAGCCAAACACTTATGATGAACTATGAGCAAAATTAAGGGCTTTGAATCACTTTTAGGAGCAAAGAAAACAAATGTATATTACTTTGATATGCGTGTTACAGTGTCTGTTGAATAATAAACCTCCCATTCATATAATAGGAGAGTTTCACCCTAAGTACAATTCTAAAAAAGGTAAAAAACTTCCTTTTCGCTAATCACTCATATGTTGCTGATATTGGCCGAGATCCGCACCGTGATATCCGGTTGGGCACGGATATCACGGACCTTCGTTAATCGTGTGTGGGCGTTTGGTAATACTTTTTGAGGTCTTGGAACACGAACCGGATCCGGGGGTGTGGTCTCGATGGTTCCGGGGGCAGGCATTTTGTTCGGCCTTGATGCGAGAGGCTCCTAGCTCTGATTTCGGTTCTTTGTAGTTACGTCCTTGCTTCGTTTGCTCTACCGAAAAATTGGGGTGCTCGTTAGCCTCGGTTTTACCCGTATACAACTTGCAACTCTTCAACCAATTATCAAAAAATACTTTTTAAAATATAAGTATCTTCAGAAAATATTTTTAGAAATTGATTTACCAAAGTTGGTTAAGGGAGAGTTTGCGTTATTTATTAACCAGAATCAATACTCAAAAACGTACAAAGACTAGTATATCTAAGGGCTTCCTGACTCAGCTCGAGTTTAGATCATACCTTGACATCAAATATCAATTCCTACTTGTTTAGTTACATCCTCTCGTGATCTTTGTCATGGAGGAACTTTGTGTCCCAGTAGCATTCGTTAGCCTACCTGCCAATAAAATGAATTTATCGGAGGAGAAGAATATAGTCTGTTAGACAATGAGTTTTACTCGAATAGTTGTACTTAAATGATAATTACATGTAAGAATTCATAAAAAGTAAGATTAGTAAACTGAAAAAATTGGAAAGTTACGCACTACAACATGTTAAGTCAAAAATTTTCACTCTATTAGCGTATATCATGACGAAGTTTCTCCACTTTCCATAAAGACCTCCAGCACTTGCACAAACAAAAGTAATTACTATAAGATACTAATGTCGGAAGCCTTTGAAGGAGAGTGAACAAATACTGCCATGTCAAGAGTAAGATCATAAACCTATGTATATATATATATATATATATATATATATATATATATATATTAGTTGTGAGCAAGGCATTTCTTGTTGTCTCAACCTGCAAGAGCTCCTATTCCCAGTATGCTTTAAGTTTAGCATCTTAATTAAAAGCTTATAAATCTTATGAACAAGCAGAAGAGAAGCCCTTGAGGGAGAGACAACAAGCAGTGCCTAGCTTGAATATGTTATAATAATGAACTAATTGAATGTGTTTTCATAGCCTGGCTGAGTGATTCTCAGAAGTGAAATAGAGCAGCTATTTATAGGGAACATACTAAGAACTATAGGAAGGTGTAAGAAGAAATTAGTGGGGCCTTAATATCTTTGGCACTTGACATGAGTGCTAAATCCTTTTTGATTCATAATAGAGCAGAAGTATAGAAGTCAACCGTAGTGAATAAAGAATAAAAGCATCTCATCCCCACACAATTAATTTATCTTATTTTACCTCTTAATTCCTTGTACGACTTATTCTTGCCTGTTTTATTGTTTTTCTTCTATTTCCTTATATATATCTCCATTAATAGAGAAAGTTTGAGTTGGATAGCAGCACGTAATCTAGAAAAAAGATCTTGAACAGAAGCATTAACAGTGTAATTGATTGATTTGATTTCTACATTTGATTTCTACACATGCAAAATAAAGAATCCGCAGAACTTTAACATGCCGCCATGCCCATTCCGCGTCCTGTGACTATACATGGAATCTGCAGCAGTAACATGGCTGAAGATCTTTTAGATCATATTCTTGATTTCCTAATTGAGCCCCCATATTATATTGCCTACGCTCCAGTTGGCATAGGCATGCGGGGGTGTGGGATATACCACATCAGCGGAGCATCTTTGTACAATCCTTATCTCTTGAATTAGTTCTTCAGGTTGAATTAGCATCAAAATCTACTTTCCTTAACCACAAGGTTTGCATTTATTGTTGTTTGAACCATATTAGTCCTTATTGAGTGTTGATAACATCTTACTTTGGCTCACAAATCCATACCAATAATTACTGGCATATATATATTTACTTTTGCCAGCTATTTATTGTTGTGTTTGATTGTTTTGAGCAAAAGTTTTTGGAATAAGATGTCTCCTTTCCTTGATCACCGACTCCAATCAAACGTAGCTACCACCTGTATGAATATTATTTGGTTAGTTGATTCAATTCTCAAAGATTGGAACTTATCAAGAATAACAATAATAATATAACAGTAACAATAGTATCAAAGATATGATGCTGTAAATAATCTCAGTTAACAGTTTTCTGATGAGAATGAGTTATCTTGAAATATGTATCATTCAAGATATATATAAACATCCCTTCGCCAAAATTGAATTATTATACCGGTCATTGTTGGCGGGATAGAATTTTCATCAAGAGATTTGATATTTATTATTATTATATAGATTAAAAAGAAAACCTTATATATATACAATGTAATTTTCTTACCCCTTCTGTCCTTCTAGTTTCGCACCCTATTGTTTGTGGAAATGACTTTGTTTTGGATTCCAAAGAAAGAAGATCATTTACATGCAATTTTCCTTTATTTGATCTATTAACAACTATCATCGTCCTTGTTTCAACACGTTGCACATTTAAATACGAGGAATAACATATATTAGATGTTTCATGTATTTCACTCACAAAATTTCAAACTTTTTAATTTTTTTTTTTTTTTTTTTACTTACTACACTTCAAAAAAAAGCTCAATTACCCTTACACATTGATTTCTTTAATTTGCACAAACTTTTTTCTCCAAAATCTTAATTTGAAAACGTTTTCCAAAAGTTGTGCATCTGATTCTTATTTTAATGATTGATTTTTTTTACAGCCAAAAGCCAAGTTATGGGATGCGGCATAGTGACTGGTTATATTCTCCGCATGTGGCAAAATGATATACCACTACATTGTGAAGCCTCTATTCAAGATATGTGAATTTTAGATATAAATTGAAGTCCCCTTTTGTCTATACTTATTGAGATAATGAAATAGAAACAATCATAGAGGGCGGAGTTATTCGTACAAGGAATACGTTAAATAAGATTACTATATTGGGTGAGGATGGAATTCTTTTACACTTTATTCTCGAGGATTGAGTTCTTTCCTCTACGAGACAAAACTCCTTTATCTTCTTTAATTTGGCTTTGTAATTGTTGACATGAGCATTATAGGTTTTGATGATTGACAAAAAAATACATGTATGGATCATGTTCATGGACACTGTACACAAGTCACGATCAGAATCAAGTAAAAGATATACACGTACAAGGGATAAGTATAAGTGGTTATTTCTGATAATTCCTGAATGAAAAGATTGCATATTTGATAAGGAGCATGACTCCTTACGTGAAGAGAACTCTATCCAAGATAAGGAAAGAGTTAAAAGTTGAAGTTAACTAAAACTCTTCCACCAAGGAAGAATAAAACATCCGACTTCTAGTTATCCTCTATTCTACTCTCTATAAATATAAGTGTTATTCTCTTTTACAAGGATCACACACATACTGAAGTTAAGCAAAAATTAAGAGCAAAATAGCAAGACATTTTGTGTGCAATTCATGTGAGATTCAAGGGTGCGAACCTGAAGCTACATGAACCAGACTGAAAAACCAGTTCCATGTGTCTGTCTTTAATTCTAGTTCAAATGTAGTACAAGATTTTGAGTGGTACCTTTTAGCTTTCTTTAAAAGCATTTGTACTAGGTACTTGCATTGTCTTAATCAAGTTAGAGTTAACTTGAAGTAATCGCAATAGCTCGTGGGGTGTAGCTACGAGGGTTAGACTCATGCTCGTGGAGCAAACAGTGACTGCACTCGATCTTGTGTGTGTGTGTTATATTCTTTTTGATGACTGGCAGACCCATTAATGTGGGTGAGATCATGCTCGGTGAGATAGCCCGCACGCGATTTGGGCGGCAGATTAGGAGGTTCTTCTTCGGCAACTCGCTCACGCAATATATGCTTTCCCGAGGGGTGCCGGAGTACCCAGGGTATGTTAAGGTGGTGGAGGTGCCTACAGGACTATTGGACATCACATACTTGTTGGAGATGTCGATTACGCTCACTCAGGCAGCACGGAACGAACGAGATGATAACTTCAACAGTTACCTCTATAACTCTTTAAATTTACTCATGAGAAAGGCTGGTATTTCAGACGAGGAGCGTATGCATTTACGCAATGACTTGTCGAGCTCGTCCAAGGAGATGTTGGGGATTACACCTGGCAGCCCAGTTCACTCGTCGGAGGACGCAAACACTATCAAGAGCTCAAACACAGAGGAAGATGTGGATGATGATGTTACGAGGGCCTTGGCTTTGGTGCCTCTAGGACCTGATGATGATGTGCCCGGCGCTGCGGATGGAGTGCATGCTGAGGAGGAGGACTCCGACTAACAGGGAGTTTTCTTTTCACCCTACTCTATTTTACATTTTTATATGTATCAGGGACTATGCATAATATAAGTGTGGGGTGGGAGGAATACTACTTGTGATGTACTTGTATAAATTATATCACTTTGTTTCTTTTACTAGTTTTACTTAGTCTAGTTTTAGTCTAGTTTGTTTTTACAAAACAATTTAGAAAAAACTCGAACTTTTCCCGACGATAGATCTTTTGGACAATTTTCTTGAGGGATAGAGTCTGATTAAAAACACCAAAAAAGATTTTTTTTTAAGGATAGTTAGGTAGTATACCTTGTTTTTTCTTTTAGCGTCGGTTCTTTTTCAAGGGTGTAGCTTGAACCGGGTACTTAATTTTTTTTTTTGAGTAGGTTAGGAAGAAACTGAGTTGCTTTGAGCTACTTAGTGACATGTTTAGTACTGGTACATTAGGTTATGACATACATTCTATCTTTCCGTATATTTGGTTTGAATTGTGACGCCTAAGTAAAGTAAATAGCCTATTTTGTGATGCTTTTCCTCAGTTGTTTGACTTGTATGCCACATAGTGCATTATTGCTTGAATTTTCTCAATTATGTGTGCTTGCGTGACTTGAGAGTTAAACAGAACCTTCTTGATTGAGTCATGTGCAATGTGTGTGTGAGGAGTTGTGATCTTCCGTGCTATCTTGTGTAATCTAGAACTTACCCCGTGTATTAATCGAAGCGAAATTGTTAAGTTATGATAATTTAGGAGATGGCGTAGGCGTTTCTTGCTTGATCATAGATGTGCTTGTCACATAAAAATAAAAATTTTCGTTGCTAGCCCCCTTGAGCCTATAGACCTTTCTTTTGGCACCCATATTATAAGCCATACCCCTATTTTGTTCTTAATTTAAGATTGTTGAACCTTTACCTCTTAAGGCATTTAGTCTCTAAAAGAAGTAACGTGAGAGATTTGGGGAGTAGCTTTCGAATGGAACCATGGAAGGGATTTTTGGTGCACTAAAGTTGACATCAAAAGTCACTAGCCGATGAACTTTAATGTATGGAGTGTGTGAAGAAAAAAAAAAGAGAGAAAGAAAAAAAAAATTGCAAGAAAAGAGAAAACAAATGATAGTCAAAGTATGTAGAAAAAAGTATACATCTTCAAATCTTATTAATTTGTGCTAGTGGGAGTATAGAAGTGCTTAATGAAAGTAAGGGCTATATTGTGTATGGGTTGTGGCAAGTGAATTAGTTGAGAAGAATATGGGCTCGAATTGTGAGTGTAGTGTATTAAAGTGCTTCGGAGGGTTAGTCACTATTTCTAAATATATCATACTTGTCCCTTAGCCTACGTTACAACTTTAAAGTCCTAATTGATCCTAGATTTAGCTAGCATAGATTAGTAGAGATGTACATTACGGGCAAGCTTATGGTACGACCACGGGATGTATATGAATTCTTTGTGAGAGTGAGCGAATTTTGTTCAATTGTGTGATGTCCTTAATTTATATTCAAAAGCATGTTTGAATGTGTGGATTAATCTATATTCATTCTTTTAATGTCGGTAAGGGCACATGATCTCATGAATGATTGGTAATGTTGTAAACTTTCTTGTTGGGCGAGTACAAGAGTTGAGGGTGCTTAGTGGTAACAAGTCAATTTTTGAGGTTGGGTGGTTACAAATAGGTTGTTGGAATTGATTGAATTGAAATGTTATACTTGGGCATGATTAAAACGGGAAGAATGCGATATTTTGTATGTTCAGGCTTGATTGCCGGTACTGATCATAGTCAAGGGTAGAGTGTATGGTTAAAAGTTGAAGTGCTCCTCTGTAGTTGAGATTTGTACGTAATTGGGGGTATATTTGATAGTCTCATTGCTCGAGGACGAGCAAGAGTCTAAGTATGGGGTGTTGATGTTTAGCTTAAAGTATATATAATTATATGTATATCGCCTCATGTTTTACTATTGTTTCGTGGATTTATGATGTAAAATATGTTAATTTATATTAATTCGAGATGTTTTTATGTGCAGGAATGATCCGGGAGCAATTAGGGGCAAAAGATGCGAAATTAGAGCCAAAACGGACGAAAAAAAGGAAAGGGGCATTTCCAGCGCCACAGGTAGCTCCCTACGCTACATGTGGCACCCCAGACAAAACGTGAAATTTACTAGTGCCAGGGACGACGCCTAGCTCTGGGATAGACACTGGTGACGGGATTTCTATCCAACTTTGCCCGGGACAATGTTATTTCGTCCCTAAACCTACCCAATACCTATAAAAGTAAGACTAAGCTTATTTTTAAGGGATAGACGCCACTTTGAAGGGAGAATGCACACGAGAAACATTCGGGAGCAAAGAGATCTCAGTTTTCTTCATCTTTTCTTAGTATTTTTAATTATCCAACACTTATGAAATTGTTTGCTAGTATCATGAGTGGTTAAAATCTATAGTTCTGGGGTTATAATTTAGCCATGAATATTGTTGTTTAACGTTGGCTTAACCTTGATTTCAATTCACTAATATATAGTTATTTCTTCTATTCTGTGATTAATTGCTTAATTGTCTGGCCATCAGTTAGATTCTATTTACTATCTATGCTATGCTTGGGAAAGCCATGTTTAGATTAGAGAAGAATTGAAGAGAGCATGATCTTAACTCTTAAGGGGGACGGATTTGTAGTTAGGATAGGAATATACCTAGTCACCGTGCTTATTTAATTATCGTAATCTTAATGCATTCTTAATAGATTGATTCTATAGGAATATAGACGTTAATCTATTTTGAATAGGCGAGTAGTACTTCGGGAGAAGGCTATGAGAGCAATTATCGATTAATTAGCAACCATGAGTGAATTGTATGAAAGGGAGAGTTAACTAGAACACAATAGGATTGGTGAATCGATCACAATCCTGGAATATTTGTCTCTATTGAATACATAACAATCATTTTACTGGTTGATAATTTAGTTACTACTTAGAATTATAGTTTAGTATAATCACATTCTTGAACTCGAATTTGGCTTGACTGAATAACAATTTTGGTAAATTTAGTGGGTAGTTGATACAAGTCTCTGTGGGTTCGACACTCGACATATCATTTTATTACTTGTACGACCACGTATACTTGCGTGTGCGTTTGGGAGTGACACTTATTGACAATCAAACAGGTTAAATTCTAAATCCTATAAATAACACATTTCAAAAGTTGCATACTTGTAAACATCACCAACCATATCACAACTCCAGAAAAATAGTTTTCAAACACATAAAGCACATCTACAACAAAACCAATTTGAATTTGGAAAGAAAAAAATTTAATATTCAATACTATGAAGAAAACTAAAAATCTGTTTATACTTTAGTTGTGCTCTTTGAACAATCCTAAAATATTACCTTGAGATTGATTCAAACATAACGCAGAGCAGAAAGAGAAAAAACAGCCAGTGACAATTGTGTCTTCTCTGAAGGTCCCCAAGAGTTCTAAAATACATATGCAAAAAGAAATATTTCAATTAAGACCCAAATCACAGAAATTAACCTACAAAATACACAAAAATTCTGAATTTTACAACCTATAATACCTAATACAGAAGGAGAAAGAGGACTTACATCTCGATTTCAATAAAAAGTGTTATATCCTTCTTCAAAATATACCGATTATACCAAATTTCTATTACTTTCTGCTGAGAATCGCAAAACATCAAGATGAAAGAAAGAGAAAAAATCAGGAAAGGGAAAACACAAATTAACAGAGAAAAAAAATTTAAAACCCACATGCAAGAAGAAAGAAAGACAGAAAAGCAAAATCAAAGAATGGGGAAGAGGAATTACCATAGATCTGAAGTTTGATTGTAGAAAACTATTTCACATGTTCTCCTTTACAAATCTCTTTCATTTGTATCTGAAACATGCGTGGTTTTTTTTTTTAATTTGAAGCTGAAAATGAGCGAGAGGGAGAGAGACGGGTAGCTGAAAATGAGAAAGGGGTTAAGGAAAAAAGGAGAGGGAAAAGATTAAAAAATGAAGGAAAATTTGGGGTTAGTGGACGCTATTTTAAGGGTGGCGGAGGTTACTCACCGCCGTAAATATAATATATTTGTGGGGGTGAATAAACCCCCACAATTTGATATAGATTGCGGAGGTAATAATAACCGTCGCAATAAAACCTTCGCAAATTTAGCGTTTTTTTTTTGTAGTGATAGTATATATATACATAATTTATTTTTTATGTATTTATCGAGTATAATTTTTCGACGAAGGGGTGTCGGTTGATACCGTTGGAAGCATATGGCTTCGCCACTAGCCGCCAGGTCATCATACATGAAATAAATATATATCTCGTACAAAAGTGAATCCTACCCCGCTAGAATTAAGTGTTTGGCACCGTACAAAAACCAACTAGCAAACCAGGGTCCTTAGCTTGTAACAACCATCTAATAAAGCTACATATTTGTTAATCATCCAAACTCAATTTCCAATGATGCTACCTATAAATATCTTATGGATAACCTCATAAGTACTGCTATCTCCGTTTCAGTTTATGTGAACCTATTTCCTTTTTGGTCCTTTCCAAAAAGAATGACCTCTTGCTAAATTTGGAAACAATTTTACTTAAACTTACAATTCTACCCTTAATGAGAAGTTTTTATAACCACACAAATACTTTGGACCCCTTTTTGAATTGTTTAGGATCACAAATTTTAAAAGTATTTATTTTTTTTTAAACTCTGTGTCCAGTCAAACAAATTCACATAAATTGAAACGGAAGGAGTATAAAGAAGAATGACCTTAAGCAAAGGCCAAGTAAATCTGTGGGACGCGGCATGGTGACCGGTTAAAGTTGTGCTGATTGTATATTCCGCATGTGGCAAAATCAATCAATCGATTAAATTGTGAAGTTTCCGTTCAAGATATATACTCGCTCCGTTTCAGTTTTTATGAATCTATTTTCTTTTTGGTTCGTTCCAAAAAGAATGACCCATTTTTTAATTTGGAAATAATTTAGTTTAAACTTTCAATACTATCATTAATGAGAAGTTTTTATAATCACACAAATACGCTGGACCCCTTTTTGACTTGTTTAGGACTACAAACTCCAAATTTTTTATTTTTTTCTTAAACTATGTGTCCAGTCAAACAGATTCACATAAATTGAAACGTGAAACGGAGGAAGTGGTTTTTTTTTCTCTCTATGTTACGTGCTATTATCCAACTCACGTTCTATCTTTTTAATGAAGATAAGGAAATGGAAAACAATAATACAGGCTGGAATAATTCGTACAAGGAATTAAGAGGTTAGCATAAGATAAATTAATTGTGTGGGGATGAGATGCTTATTCACGACGGTTGACTTCTATGCTTCTACTGGACAAAAATCATTATCTACTTTACTTTAGCTCTTTTATATGAATCAAAAGGATTTTAGACTCATGTCAAGTGCCAAAGATACTAAGGTCCCATCTAATTTCATTTTGCACCATTTGATAGTTCTTTGAAGTGTTGCCTATAAATAGGCTGCTCTATTTCACTTCCTAATCACTCAACCAGGCAATGGAAAATCCTTAAATTAGCTCATTATTATAACATATTGAAGCTAGGCACTGCTTGTCGTCTCTTCTGCCCGGCCATAAGATTAAGCTTTTATAGCCTGTTTGGCCAAGCTGAAGAAATCAACTTATTTTGAGAAGTATTTTTTCTAAATTCGAGAGAAACAGTTTGTGTTTGGCTAATCACTCTGAAAAATACTTTTGAACAATAATTTGTGTTTGGCCAAACTTTTCAGAAAGTACTTTTAACTATCAAATTACGAATAAGGACATGAATAAATTTACTTAATAGTTAATATTATAAGTAAATAAGTAATATTAAAAATTTATTATTACAAGCAATAATTAAATATTTTTATTTTATTTAAGTAAAATATGAAAATAAAATTTAAAAGTACTTAATTCTTTTAATATAAGTTAAATGTATTAAAAATCATTCAACGAATATAAAAGCATTTACCTCTAAAGTCATTATATATTAGAAAGCTATCCTAAAAATAATAAGAAATATTTATACATTAATATCCTAAGTATTAGGTTTAACGGTTATTTTGGTATATACTATATTTTGTTAAGGGTATTTTTGGTAAGAAGAAAAGTCAAAACTGCTTCTGCTTCTGCTTTTGGGAAGGAACTATTTTTTTCTATTTCTAAAAAACTGTTTCTTTTTCTTTTCAAAAGCACTTTTTTCCCAAAAAAGCTTGGCCAAACATCTTAAGTTAGGGAAAAAAAGTGTTTTAGAGAAAAAAAATACTTTTGGCCTCCCGAAAAAATTGGCCAAACAAGCTCAGTATTAGTTTTGATGCTATAGTTGAAGCGTGCTCGGGATAGGAGCTCTTGCAGGTTGAGACAATAAGAAATACTTTGCTCACAGTTTATATATATATATATATATAAAATCTTACTCTTGACATGGCAGTATTTGTTCACTTCCGATATTAGTGTCTTACTTTTGTTTGTGCTAGTGCTGGAGGTCTTTAAGGAAAGTGGACAAACTTTGTCATGATATTCCTGCACATAAGTTAATTTATTTACGCCGACAGTACGAGGCTATAAGTATATTTTAGCCTGTTACAATAGATAACTACCCGCCTCATTTTCTAGAATACTAATCCAACATTAGTGTCTGCCTTTTGTTCGTGCTAGTGCGAGAGGTCTTTGGTGAAAGTCGACAAACTTTTATCATGATATATAGTTTGAGTAGAATTAAGTCTAATTGTTACTATCTTTAAATATGGTCTTAGACAATTTCATTTCATGATTTAATATTTGGGTTTGCATTAGCCAATTTTATTAGGCCCTCATATATATTTTATTATTCATTCTCCAAATGCTTAGTCTTGGTCGTGCAAGACTAAGACTAATTTACTTTGTCTCATTTATTCCATCTCATAATTTAAGTCTGTTTTCTTACTTGTACTATCATTAGTATAGTATTTAATTTTTTTATTCAAAAGCTTCTCCACAAAAAAGAAAGATAAATTAGGAGAGAGTCGAGAAGAAAAAAAAAAAGGGAAACAAGAAGAACAATACAAAAGTACATATGCGAATGGCCTTTTATTGGTACTTATTTATATTAGGTATTATGTTAGATCAAACAATTTTAGCTAAGCAGTTAAAATTAAAGAGGCTACATATTGCTTTATCATAAAAAGAGGATACATATTGACTATTGTTGAAGAATAAAGAGAAGGTGGTAAGTATCTGTATACAATACACATACCTTGTATTTTTTGTTGGAATTTCTAGGCCTAATAAATCTCAGAACCTAATCTTCGTTCAAGCTTAGAGCCCATTTCAGACCCCAATATTCTCTCTTACTTCCTATATAAGGTCAAAAACAGGATCAAGAGAATCCCTAGAGAGCACGACGGCAGAGCCCTACACCTTCTTTTTTTTTTTTCTAAAACAAAGATTTCTCTAAAACTCTCACCACCTTCATCTTCGTTCTGATCTTATCAACAGCCTTGATTAGTGTTTCATCTTGCGAAAATGGTCCATCCAAATGATTTCGATTTGTTGAACCCACCACCAGAGCTAAAGAAGAAAAGAAAGCAAAAGAAGCAACTTGTTCAGTCTCCTAATGTTACGAATTGCATTCGTAACCTTTTGGCGGGAGTGGTTAATACCTTATTGGGCCAGTCATTAGCTGATACTAGTATTTTAGTCATAGTCATTTTCATATATAGCACTTTATGTTAGTCTAGTAAGTCTGGGAGGCTATATAGTCAATAAGACACTTATAGTCCCCTATATGGAGTTGTTAGGCATTATTTTGAGATGACAGTTGTCCAACTTAGTATAAATAGTAGGCTCAGTGTACTGGAGAATCTATCTGAAATGAAAATTATCTCTTTTTCAGTTTAATTTTTGTCATTTTCTTTCGTTACGCTTTTGGCCATCGTAGTAGCCGCTACAATCTGGTATCAGAGCATTTCTCTGGGCATCAATGGTGGATCCCTCGCGTATCACTGACGGAAGTAGCCTCGATCTCCAAAAGTAGATACTCATGGAAACCTCGGTTAAACGCATGGAACAAATGGAAGAACTACAGATGCGTCATTTGGAAGCAAATCAGCGCGTGAAAGGCTGGATGTTGGATTTGCAAGGAAAAGAAGATACTCGCTTAGCTATGGCTCAAGGGAGCAGCTATTCCGAAACTGGTCACTCATCAGTGCGTGGTGGATACCGACCGACGTCCTCACCCACGACCCTAGTTTACTCATCGTTGTCAGCGGTAACTCCTAAACCATTCAATACTAGTCAAGGAGGACCCTTAGCTCCCTCTAACCTCAATGCGCCCCGTTATGGATATGGACTTTCGTTGTGCGAAACTCTAGCCTTACCTCCTATGAACCTCTATTTCTTCCATACTTATAGCTCTGTTTTGAGCTCCACCATACCAACTTCCATCAGCTCGACCAAACCTTTTTCTTCACTATCTGCTTACAGTCGACCCTTCACACCTTCACACACCTCATCAACTATGAACCCTTTAACCTGTGGCACATATGTTCCCAATCCCATGGAAGAGACGCTAATAACAGGACCAGGCCAGTCACTAATGGTCAATAACTCATCTCACATGCCACACTATCCACCCCAAATTCCATTTCCCTCAAACCAAAATTCCCTCTGAGTAGGACTATTACCATATTTCCCTCTTACCACTGCCCAAATATCCGTCTATAGCTCGCAAACCCCTGCAATGATAACACAGTTACCTTCCTACACCGGCATGTCCTTACCCATTTTTTCTCCCTGCAGCAAACCTACCAAATAACCCTCATCACTTAAAAGCCAAATTGCCTTTTCCTGACTTTGATGAAGCAAATGTAAGGGGTTGGATAAGGCGGTGCGAATACTACTTCCATTATTATCAGGTTGCTGAAGAAGAAAACAATGTTGTGTGTAGCAGCAACGACTAAGGATGATTTGGGCAACTGGTTCGACTCATACATCATGGACCATGGGGGGTGGATCACTTGGAGACAATTCTGTATGGACCTTTGCAAAAGGTGTGATGGTACTGGGCCCTTGGATGTAGTCACAACCTTTAATCGATTACAACAATGGGCCGATGTCTTAAGCTATCAGAAAAGGTTTGAAGAATTACACTGTCGAGTCCAAGTAGTTCGTCCCCACCTTGATGAGCTCTATTTTGTGCAGTGTTTTGTTGGTGGGCTCAAAGAAGAAATAGGCCCAATGGTCAACGTAGCCTATCCACAAATATTAATCGCAGATTATAATATGGCCAAACTCTATGAGTAGTCCCAAAATGCTGCTAAGAAGCAGACGTACAAGCCCAATAGGCCCACTCCATTACCTTATCCTAACCCCAAAGCCCAAGCTACCCCTCTTTTGCCCAAAATAAATACTGTACCACCCTCAAATACCAAACCACCACTCCCAAAACATCCCAACATTGATGCCTTAGGAGAAAGAAACCTATATTTTCATTGTCATGAGAAGTACATGCTTGGTCACCAATGCAAAAACATGGCCTTAAATGCATTGGAAGGAGAAGAGAATTTTGTGAAAGCCTCTGATGAGGAATTAAAAAATGTAGCAGAGGATATTGTACAGGAAGAACAAGGTGAGGTATCATTAAATATAGTGATGGGCCTCACCACTCTCCCAACCCTATCAGAATTGCTGGTTGGGCCAAGAAACAACGAGTTTTGATTTTGATTGACAGTGGATCGACCCACAGTTTTATTGACCCACAAGTCATCAAAACACTCAATTTAAAAGGGCAGCCTTTTCGTAGACCCATGAGAGTCAGAGTAGCCAATGGACAAATTTTGTTGTGCTCTCACAGCTATCCAGGTTTTATTTGGACCATGGGAGGGGAAGTTTTCAGTTTCAATTTGGGCCTGCTAAGAGCTGGTGGCAGTGATATAATTTTGGGCATGGATTGGGTGAACACTGTATCACTAGTTGTGTTACACACTCGGCCGTACAACATCTCATTCTTCAAGGGAAATAAACTACTTACATTAGTGAGTTGTGAAGAAATGGGCCCAATTGAGTCCAAAGATATGAAAAAGATTGAAAAGTTGCTCAAGATGGGGCAATGCATGTTGTCAGCCCAATTACTGTCGGAGAACAAATCAAAAGAGGAGGAAAAAGTTACCCACTCAATACAGTCCAATATTTCACATTATTCCAAGCGCCAAATGGACTTCCACCTCCAAGGAATTGTGATCATGCCATCAATTTGTTACTAGGCTCTAAACCAGTCAATCAGCAGCCATATCGCTACTCCTATGAGCAGAAAAACATAATCGAGATGATGGTGAGAAAAATACTGGAAGAACAAGCTAGTTCTTCACCATTCGCATCCCTTGTGATTTCGGTCAAGAAGAAGGATTTTTCGTGGAGGTTTTGTGTTGATTATCGCAAACTAAACGAGCTGACTCTGAAAAACAAGTATCCCATTCCGGCGGTAGAAGACTTGTTGGATGAGTTGCAAGGGGCAAAGCTTTTTTCCAAATTAAATTTACGGTTAGGCTGCCATCAAATACGAATGAGGAGAGGGGATGAGTACAAGACCGCTTTTAAAACACATCATGGGTTATGGGAATTCCGCATAATACCGTTTGGATTGACAAATGCCCTTGCTACCTTCCAGGCTTTGATGCACGAAATCTTTGGTCCGTACCTAAGGAAGTTCGTCCTCGTATTTTTTGATGACATTTTGGTTAACAGTGCTAACCTTGAAGACCATATTAGGCATCTCAGAAGAGTGTTTGAACTATTTCAGCAAAACAGGTTGTTTGCTAAATGATCAAAATGTAGTTTTGCGCAAACACAAGTGGAGTACTTAGGCCATGTCATCTCGGGTGAAAGAGTAAGTACAGATGTTACTAAGGTGGAGGCAATGCTATCATGGCCATAACCCGTGAATATTAAAGGGTTGAGAGGATTCCTAGGCCTAACTGGTTATTATAGGCATTTTATCAAAAAATACGCGATAATCATTATGCCCTTGGCACAACTGTTAAAAAAAGGATGTTTTCAGTGGAGTGATTCAGCATCACAGGCCTTTGAAGAACTTAAGAAAGCTATGGTCAAAGCCCATATTTTGGGCTTACTAGATTTTTCCATTCCCTTTACAGTCGAAGTGGATGCCAGTGGGTGTGGTGTAGGCGCAGTTCTAATGCAAAATGGAAGGGGCTTTGGCATTCTTGAGTCAAGCATTAAGCCTAAAACACTTGGGCATGTCCACATATGAAAAGGAATTGGTCGCACTCTTGGTAGCAATAGACAAAAGGAAACACTATTTGCAGCATAATAAATTCCTCATACGCACGGATCACTTTAGTTTAAAGGTCCTTCGAGATCAATGAGTGACTACAGCGCTACAGCATAAAGGAATCACGAAGCTAATGGGTCTGGATTATGAAATTCAGTACAGACAAGGTGCTAAAAATGTGGTGGCAGATGCTCTCTCACGAAAGAAAGAATTGTCGGGCGAGTGTCAAGGAATCTCAGTCATTCAACCTAGTTGGGCTCAATAAATCATGGAAAGTTATGAGAATGATCAAGAGGTACAACAACTGATAGTACAACTCTACATTGATCCTTCATCAGTCCCAAAAACTTCTTTTCAACATAGGATTCTATGCAAGGATGGTCAAGTTTGGGTAGGCAGCGATGGACACCTCCGAGAGAGACTAATTTAGGAAATTCTTGCTACACCTTTGGGGGGGGGGGNTCTATTAAAAGATGTTAAAGAAATGGTGAGGTCTTGTGAAGTGGGCCAAAGAAATAAAGGGGAAAGTGTGCCCTATCCGGGCCTTTTACAGCCCCTTCCTATTCCAACTAAGTCACGGGAACATGTGACAATGGATTTCATTGATGGACTTCCTATGTCTCAGGGCAAGGACACCATACTAGTGATAGTCGATAAATACAATAAGTATGCCCATTTCCTAACCTTGTCTCATATTTACAATGCCACCCAAGTAGCATAGAAGTTTTTAGATAATATGTTCAAGCTCCATGGCGCACCCTATTCAGTGGTATAGGATAGGGACCCCATTTTCATCAGTAATTTCTGGAAAGAATTGATAAAAGGGCTGCAGATTCAACAAAAGTTAAGCACGGCTTACCATCCACAAACGGATGGTCAAACAGAGAGGTTGAAAAGGTGTTTAGAGACCTATTTAAGGTGTATGATGGGTCACAAGCCCAAGGAATGGTGTAAATGGATTTCTCTTACTGAATTCTGGTACAACACGACCCATCACTCAGCTTTTGGGATGTCACCTTTCAAGGACCTCTATGGGTATGATCCACCTCAACCTACCTTTGAGTTGGTAGCCTAGACCAAGCTTGAAGCAGTAGACCAGTTGCTTCATGATAGGCAGCTTATGAGCAATACTCTGCAAGATAATTTACAAAATTCCCAAAATAGAATGAAACAATTCGCTGATGTGATGACCCAAAATATTATATTTAAATTTAATATGTAATTTTATATTCTAAGACCTCTAAAAGTACCATTTATCATTTCTCGATTTACGTGCGCAGTCCGTAAAAATTTTTCGGAAAGTTTTCATGTGAAAAGTGGATTAAAATGTGAAATAGAGCCTTAAAACTTAACTGAGTTGACTTTGGTCAATATTTTAAGCAAACAGACCCCAATCAGTATTTTGATAGTTCTGGTAGCTCCGTATCGTGATTTGGGACTTGGGCGTATGCCCGAAATTTAATTTGGAGGTCCCTAGCTCAAGTTATGACCATGTAACGGAACTAGCAATTTAAAGGCTAAAGATTCCAAGTTTGACCACGGGGTTGACTTTTTGATATCGGAGCCGGAATCTGATTCTGGAAATTTGAACAGCTCTGTTATGTCATTTATGACTTGTGTGCCAAATTTGAAGTCATTCTGGATTCATTTAATATGTTTTGGCACGAGGTTTGCAAATTGAAAAGTTTAAAACTCAAAGTTTGAATCGGGGTGTTAATTGTAATTTCAGCATTGTTTGACGTGATACGAGACCCCGAGTAAGTCCGTATTATGTTATTAGACTTGTTGGTATATTCGTACGGGGTCCCGAGTACCCCGAGAGTGATACGGATTGAAATCGGATCAAGAATTTGACTTAAGCAAAATCTTAAAAATCTTCCTTCTGTTGTAATCGCACCAGCAGATTTTTGACCGCAGATGCGAGCTTGCAGAAGCGAGCCGTCGATCGCAGATGCGCCCGGGAGTGGTTGGGCAATAGTCCACAGGTGCGGAAACCTGCACGCACCCGCACGTCCGCAGAAGCGGACAAAAGAATCGCAGAAGCGAAGGCAGCGCAAGTGCGCATTTTTCCTCTGCAGGTGCGAGGCCTCGCCTGGCAGCCCCATTTTGCATATGCGAGCTCGCATGTGCGAGCCCAGGCACCGCAGGTGCGGAAATGCCTGGGCAGTGTATATATCGAAGAGCCCGGTATTATTTTCATATTTTGGTCATTTTGAGCTTGGTTAAGGCGAATATTTGGGCGATTTTAACGGAAAATATTGAGGTAAGTGTTCCTTATCCTATATTAATTATATTTCATGATTCAATACTTGTTTATATCATGAATCCGTGAATTTATGGAAGAAAAATCAAAATTTTCTAAAATCTTCCAAAAACGAGAAATTTAAATTTGAAGGTCCATTTGATATCGGAATTGGATAATTTTTGTATGGTTGAACTCGTAGCGGAACGGGTGTTCGGATTTCGTGAGTTTTTTCGGGATTTGAGACGTGGGTCCCACTATTGAATATTTAAATAAATTTCGGATTTTTATCCGAAAAATTAGTAAATTCATATGGAATTAATTCCTATGATTAGTATTGCATATATCGAATTGTTTGTGAATAGATTTAAAGCTTTCAGAGACAAATTTAAAAGAAAAAGCTATGGTTGAATAATTTATTGGAATTTGCGAAGCGAGGTAAGTATCGTGGTTAACCTTGACTTGATGGAATAGAACCCTTAAATTATTTATTATGTGAAATGCATGTGAACGACGTATAGGCGAGGTGACGAGTGTCTATACATCGTCAAATTAATTGTTTGCGTATTTACTTAAAAAATCATAAATTATTTTAAATCATAAATTAATTATTATAATAATTATTTTTCTCCTGTTTTTTGTCAAATATTAAATCTTGAATTCCTGCATTAATTGTTACATGCTATTTGAATTATATGCCTTAATTGTTATTTGATATTTAGTATATTAAATATCAAACTGCATATTTTCTCTCTGATTTCCATAATAATTTGCTATTTGCCTTGTTTGTTTCATAATTAAATCATAATTATTGTATGCTTGTTGTCTTATAATTTTATATTAATTATTGTATTTATTGGGAAAATTTCTTCTTAAGAATTGGTAAATGAATATGTTGGAGGATCGGGTTGCACGCCGCGACAGAATTGATTATAATGAATATATTGGAGGATCGGGTTGTACGCCGCAACAGAATTAATTATAATGAATATATTGGCGGATCGGGTTATACGCCGCAACAGACTTATTAAAAAGTCAATATTGGAGGATCGAGTTGCACGCCGCAATAGACTTATTAAAAGTCCATATTGGAGGATCGGGTTTTATGCCACAACAGACTTGTTTAAAAGTCGACATACATACATACATACATACATACATACATACATATATATATATATATAT